GGTGTTTCTGTTCATCCTATTCTGCCATTAAACCATTTTTACTTTTACTGAAGCCTGCATTTTTCCTCCTGCTCAGCTCATCCACACATGGTCCATCATCTCCACCTCCTACACCGTGACACTAACTGAATGACTGTATACGTCTCCCTGAAGCAAATATTTCAAATCTCTAAAATAACAATTATTATTATTATATCTAAATAAGTTCATGATAGATCCTTAATTACTTTAGCTAAACATTCAGACAGAAGGTGTAACTGAAACCAAACCTGATGCTCCAAGGAGCTTCTTGTTCCGACATTAGTGGTGTCATTTTTATAAAGCTGAGCATTTTCTAAAAAGACCCCCCCCCCCCCACACACACACACACACACACAAACACACAAACAAACACATAAACAGCACTTCAACAACATCAACTTATCAGCTGTATTCTTTTTCCATGTTTCTGTCAGTCGGTGAAACTCAGACTCGTGACGGACCGAAGCTCATCTGTGAAGTAATCCAGCAGCAGCCTGGACGGCCTTCATGCTGATGCTGAGTTTAAACGGTTCCAGTGGATCTAGCAGATCTACGTCAAGTGCTGTCTGTTCTTCTTCACTGCCGACTGTCCTGTAGCCGAGCAGCATCGCGGCCTCTCTACAGACTTCCTGAATGAGGCTGACTTTGCTGTGAGGCAGCGTGGTGCGCCAGGCCTCAGACACCTGGGCGGCGTTTCTAGAAACAATTTGAAAAGCCTCCTTCCTGCTGCCTTTCCCTTCTCCATGAGTCACCTTGTAGATCCACCTGACCATCTCCCCGCTCAAATCCAAACCAACAAACTCATAAATACCACGGATCACCTTCAGCGGACTGCGAACAACGTCTTCATAGCGAACCAGTTTGCAGCGGCCTTTCAGGAAGAGTGGAGGCTCCAGGACATCCCTTTTATTAATGAGGACATGACTACTGCAGATCTCCTGCATCTCTTTGTACTGAAGTTCAGCTGCTCCAGGACTACAGCGCTGTCTCTGCGAGGTAAAAAGGCAGACGCCTCTCGAGATCTCAGAACAGCCCGTGGGCAACCAGATGGATGATGTGGAGATCCAGGGTAGGGTCTAGCAAAAGAGGAAGAAGAGATTCCAGCTCAGATATCCGTGTTTCTTTCATCACCACATGACTGTGTGAGCTGCAGGCCTGCTCTGCCTTCTGCAGACCTGCAGCTCCACATTTCTGAAGGCACCGAATCTCATTGGTTGCTGTGATGGAGCAGACCGGATGTGAGCACAGAGCTCGACTTTCTGTCCACATGAATAAAGAGGAAAGACGATGGTTCTCTGGGAGATACGCATCCATCACTGAGAAGTCTCACTGGTAAAGACTCTGGAGGCAATCCCTCACAGCCATCCGGAGGAAGTTTCTTCTAGGCTTCTGTGGCCCAGTCCACACGTGCCAAGCAGGCTCCATCAGGTAGAAAACAGACCGGTGCTGGCTGAAACCTGACCCAGGAAGGACGAACCTGATCGCCATGACGACAGCAACAGGACATGAACTTTTCCCCCAGTTGGGGCAGAGTCACAGGAACGTAGCTGAAGGCACCAGCTGGAGAACAGGAGCACCGCTCCCCCGTGCAGAACCAGCAAGAAAAGCAGCTTTTTAAAGGAATGTCTGAAGTAGCACCTCATGGCTGTGTATTAGTGTCAGCTCCAAGCGTTGGAGAAAACGTATTCCTGTTTTGTCTGCGGGGGAAAAAAAGACAGAAATGATACTGCAGGAGAAGCAAAAACAAAACCAGGCTTTGCCTCAATGATTATTATTATTGCTGTTGTTTATTTTGCTTTTTTATTCTGTTAGAAATACACAATTATTTGTAATTCTCAAAGAAAGATTGGAGAACTGAAATTGATGAATTTTTATTTGCACCAAAACTGAATCACACACATATTAGGTGATGACTAAGTTTTACTCAAACATTTCCTATTTCTCAAAAAATAAAAAATAAATAAATAAAAATAAAAGTTTTATGTTCACATCTTTTATCAACGTGTGTAGGGGCTGGATTTTTTAAAACTACTTACAACGTGTAGATTTACATGTGTGCAAACTGGACTTTCCAGTCGGTGACCTCGAATGCCACCAACAGCAACTCAGAATGTTCGCTAAGCTCCGTTTCGCTGAGATTCGACTACTGAGTGAAGCGTGCGTCACGGTTCTGTTTCAGGCGAAGAGAGGATCTAATTCTTCAGACTGCAACGTTATCATTTACTGTGTGTGTACAATGCAGTGTGCAAGAATAAAAGTTTCCAAAAGTTGTGTGTGCAGGGAAAGCTGCAGTTTAAAAACAACAACAGATTTTTTTACATTACTGACAAAAAATCTTGTTTTCAAACTGCTGAAACACGAGGAAGTACAAAAGTGTGACCTCTCACCAATAAAACGTTTATTTAAATAAGCAGCCAAATACTTTCTGTAGAAATGTGTTCATGATTAAAGTGAACTACAATCACTGTGACTCAACAGCATTGAGTAGGATGTTTTGAATGTGCCAGTAAAAATGTGAGAAGTCAATAAAGATATCAGAGAGGGATAATTCTACTCAACACCCATGTTAGCAGTTAAATTGTCTCAGTCCAGTCTGGTGATACGTTTATTTATTTCAGTTCCCATGAGGACGTCAGTGAAGGACGTAATTTCAAACGCCTCTTTCACGGATGGAACTAGACGTGATGTATGAAAGCTACGTGTGAATGCGATGTTAGAACTTCCGTATCTCGGAGAGCTGCGTTCTGGATGTAAAAGGATTTGGTTTGCGTTAAGCTATGAAGTTGATTATTATCAAAAGAACATCAGACGCTATCTGTGTGTCTACTTCATCCGTTTTCGGAGACCTTCTTGGTGGGTCCGAAGGTCAGAGAGGTCGGATGACCTCTGGCACCGGAGGGCTGTAGAATACCGTGGCACCGACCCTTCAGTCCAGAGATGTCTCGGGTCACGACAGACGGATGGAACCGCACGTCTGGGACTCTGAAGGAGTCTAAACACTATCAGCTTGTTCTGCAGGAACTGTTGCTGCATCAGCTGATGCATCTGGGCATCAATTTGGGGATTTTCCCGGGTCTGCTTCTCGGAGAAACGCAGGTGCAACACTTTGGTGGTTAAAGAGGCGTGCTTCAGGTGGCTGGTCTGAAGCTTTCTCTAGAAAAAGACGTAATCTGGCATCACCTTAGGGGACCTAATCTGGACTTGCAGAGCTGACCTGGAAGACTTTGATGTGGCGTAACTTTGCACAGTGGATAAGCAGCATTGTACTCAAAGGTCGATATGATATTGTTGTGACATCAGCAAACATTTGATGACACAACCAGAAATGTGTGGAACTTTTTGTGTGTCACATGACATAACTGCGCAACATCACCTGAAAAACCTGCTGCGGCCGACGCGTGATTGTTGTTCTTCAGGCTGAAAACGAGTTTTCATTTATTTCTTGACTGGAAATCGTGTTCAGATTAAAAAAGTGCAACAAGACAGATTAAACTTCTTTTCACTTGCAAAACCAATTTAGAGAATTTTTTATGGAACCGTTGAAAGTTTCATTAATCTTATTTTTTCAGCATCTAATTATTTTATTAGCCAGTATTTTATTCTCTAAACCCCAATTTGTTCTCGGACTTGAATGAAGACAATGCACATCTTTTAAATCACATTTGAGTCAAACAGTTCCTTTATTTCTTTTTACGATGTGAAATAAACGAAACGAGGACGCAGAAACGTAAAACTCAAACATAAACTTGTCGTTTCGTAGAGAAGGATTTATTAAGTTGTGGCGTAGGATCTGAATGTTCCTTTAATTCTTCAAAAAGAGAAATCTGAAAGACAAAAAGCTATGTGATAAACATCTTGTGTAGCCAAGAGAGCTGCAAACAGCAGGTTCATGCATCCATGACTGCCTCCTCCTCTGTCAGCTCCTCCTTTACACGCCATTGCACACTCGTAAGTGTGCGCTGGACACAGATCTAAACTACATGATCCAGTAATCTGGGTGAAGACAGAAACAATCACAGCTTTCTTTTGCTCTAAAACAGGAAGGTTTACCTGTTGGTAGAGTAAACCTTCCATCACCGCATCCTGGTTGACTTTGCATGCTTTATTTTTGTCTCATCACATGTTTAACACACATTTGATGATTCGTGACTCACAATCATTCATCTTAAACAAAGCAGTTAGAGCCGGACCTCTGATAAGATGGGAACTTGCTGAGTTTATTTAAGGTGAAGCATTTTTTCAAGCCTGAGCGAGATCCCGGAATAGGGAGCCTGAGGCCTAGTCCACACGTAGCCGGGGTTTATGGAAAACGAATTTCCGCCCCTCCAAAAACTTGCATCCACACCACCTCGTTTTAAAAAAAACTCTGTCCACACGTACCCGGATAAATACGTTGTTAAGGACATGCCAGACCTGTAGGTGAGAGACAGGATTCATAAAGTCACAACATTTTGAATAACACTCGAGTTTGTATTTCTCAGCGTTGATAACGCTGTTTATCTTTTAAGTTTAACCGACTTCACTTTTACTTTATTCAGTTTAAATAAATAAGTACCTTCAGAGTTGCTCTCCACGGTCTCCAGGCGCCAGCGGGTCACCTGTCGGTGTTCGGGGCGGAGGTGAAACTTGAATTCCCTCCCATCAGCAGGCGCGCAAAGAAAAGTTGCCCAATGACAGTTTTATCAGCTGACTCGTAGTTTGCTCAGCAGGTAATTATACTGGTTTTCCAGGATCCAGAGATAAAACCCATGCTGTGTCTGTAAACTCTGGGCTTTTGGGTATAAATGTGAGAAATTATTCACGTAGTTTTCGAGAATCGCCTCATTTCTGACCGCTGCAAATGAACGCATACAAAAACATGAATTTAAACCAATTGGTGGTTTTTGCACAACTTTATTTTGCTGCATTATTTGATAGACTACTTGTTTTGTTATTAATCCTGTAACAGTTCATTTTTATTTTCATAGCTTGATCCTAAATAGTAATTGTGTTTTTATTTTCTTTCTGCTCAGATGTTTTTAGCTTAAAGCTGTGAACCAGAGGGTGATTTACAGGATTCTGTGTGTTGAACAGGTCAGTCGGCTGTACTGGAGCAGGAAAATAATTCAACAGGAAAACTTCACTGTCTAAAAGTAATTTCTGCGCTTTTCTCAGCATTTTTAAACAACAACATGTAATTTATGAACAGCAGCTTCGTGTGTTTATTGACTTTCCATGTGATCCCACTCCGGTGACCTTTGGTTTGAATGAGGTCAAACCTTTTTTTAACAATTAGCTGTTTTCCAAACATAAATACAAACAGAAAACACACATTTTGTGTTGTGATATGAAAACATAAAGACTGACAGAAATAAAAGTTTGTAGATTTGCGTTTTGCAGCTCATAACTGATGCCGTTCAGACGGAAACAACAAATCAATGTCAAGTGTCTTTTGTTGTTTTTCACTCTTGACTGTCGTGTAGCCCAGCAGCGACATGGCCTCCTCACACACTTCCTGGACACGTCTGACCTTGCTGTGAGGCAGCATGGTGCGCCAAGCCTCGGACACCTGAGTTGCATTTCTGGACGTAATTTCAAAAGCGTTTTTCATGTCGCCTTTGCCCCTTCCATGGGTCTTCCTGTAGACCCAGTCCCTCATCTGTCCGGTCATCTTTAGCCCGACAAACTCATAAATATCCTCGACCTGCTTTAGTGGGTTGCGCGCCACGTCTTCATAGCGAACCAGTTTGTAGCGGCCTTCTAGAAACGGAGGAGGGTTCAAGAGAGCCGTCTTACCGATGCGAATGTGACTCTGGCAGACTTTCCTCATCACCTCATACTGAACCCGAGCTGCAGGAACCTTCCTCTGCTCCAGGACCACAGCGTTATCAGCTTTAAAGGATTTGGCTGACTCCTCTCTGGATCGCAGCACAGCCCGTGGGTCCCGGACCAGATGAACAATGCGGAGATCCAGGTTGGGGTCTTGCAACAAGGGAAACAAAGACTCCAGCTCAAAAAAGCGTGTTTCCTTTAACACCACGTGACTATACGAGGCGCAGGCCTCCTCCACCTTCGGCAGACCATGAACACCACATCGCTGCAGACACTGATCTTTGTTGGTCGCTGTGACGGAGCATGCTGGCGCTGAGCAAAGAGCCCGACTTTCTGTCCACATAAATAAAGATGAAACACGGTGGTTTTCTGGTAGATAAGCGCTCATCTCTGAGAGGTCGCACCGGTAGAGCTTCTGCAGTAAATCTCTCAGAGCTATTTGCAGAAACTGCGTATCGAAATTTGGCATTTTGTTCCAAACATGCCAACCGGGCTCCATCAGATAAAAAACAGAAGGGTGCTGACCAAAGACTTGACCCAGGAAGGACGAGCCTGATCGCCATGACGACAGCAGCAACACGTGGACTCGTCTTTCAGGGGTGGCCGAGTTGTCGGGGTGGAGCTGAAGGTAACAGCTGTAGAGCCACACCCCCGCTGCTCCCTGCAGGACGACTAGAAGAATGAGCTTGTCTGACCTGCTGTTTTTCATGACTGCAGGTTGCTGCTCCTTGGGCAGGAGGATATCCGTCACGCCTGCATGAAGGAACAAACACAGGACAGAGAAATAGTCAAATTCGACTGATTTTTGAACACACACTAACGGTGTGTGTGTGTGTGTGTGTGCATTTTAGGTTTTGTTCTCCGTGCTTCCCTGTCACAACCCAACAAGATCCCTGGAAATCAGGATTTAACAGTAAACCTGCCCCCTGACAAACACACACTCGGTAGGTCAAACTCCACCAGTCACTGGGCGACCACAAGGGACGCGTCTCCAGGAGGGGTCGGCCGATATGTCAGGCTGATATTTACCATTTTTATTTATTGGCACCAGTCGATTTACCTTCTTAGTTAAGTTGGTTTACAGTCAGGCACATCCCCGGGCAGCCTGGTGCTGTTGCAGAAATTAATTTAAATGAATATCTGCATTCCTGAATAACATCTGCATAACAAATGCTCTAAAATACGTTCTGCAAAAATTAGGTTTTATTTACCAGTTTTTAATATTTAAAACTCGTTCAGTTTATTAATTTGTTTAAATGACTTTATTTAGATATCTGAATTTATCACTGAGGAGAGCACAACATTAACAGTTGGTTAAATTCAGAGTTCAAAAACAGATTCGACTTCAGAAATTTGGTGCATCAACAGATGTTATTAGTGACATTTTAGCATGCAAATTAAATGGGAAAAGTCTAGATATTGGCCATGAAAAAAGGCCCAAAAATCGGCAGTTCATATCGGTCATCGGCTGATCGTGTCTCCTTCACACTGGTATCGGCAATAGAAAAGCCAATATCGGTTCATCTCTTTCTCCAGTCCATCACAGGGACTCGGGTGCAAACAGTCACACACACTCACTCACACCTAGGGACAGTTTAGAGTTAGTAACACGCATGTTTTTGGTCTGTGGGAGGAAACCCACACATGCACGGGGAGAAAATGCTAATTCCACGCACAAAGGCTGCAACCAGGATTTGAATTTGTGATTTTCTCGCTTCAAAGCAACATTACAAACTGTTCCACCATGCAACCTTTCATAAAACACACAAGAAGTCTAACAAATATCTCAAATAAAGGTTTCAGCTCGCTGAAGAACATTTTTCTAAACGTGGAATAGATTTGTCGTTTTTAAAGGTTTTCTTCAGCAGGGAGGAGAAGACGACACAGGGTTCAGGTTTGATGAAGACAAAATACCAAGACCTGCTGCACGTTTTCATGTTTTTGATGACTGCAGCTCTAAAATGATTCATCAATAACTACTGGTCAAGCATGAATGGATTTTCAACACGGGTACAGGTACAGACTAATGCTCAAATGCTCATTTTTTCCTTTCTGGACGTTCTTGATAAAATGTTCATTAATGATAATTGATTGGCATTTTCCACCTTTTTTGCTTATCTAAAAAGAAATTCAAATCATGTGAAAACTAAAAAAATCACTGTTGTCAAAAAATAGAAAACAAAATCAATAAGGTAGCAAAGTCTATGTTTCATTTTTTATGAATAATAATAATAACAGTTTCATACCGTAAACTTGTCTTTCTGATCTCTGCAGCGCCCGGTCTCCTCTCCCCTCATCCCTCAGGCTCCTTCCCTGTTTTACTGTGAAACGTGGAGGAGGAGGAGCTCGACATGAGAACGTGAACTTTATTTCAGCCGTGAAAGTATGTGAAATTAAAAACAAATTCCCGTCCCACGGCAGACTGACGCTGTTTGATGAACTGAGGTATGGTTTGTTCAGCAGGTTCTCACTTTGGCTCTGCAGGAACACAGAAAGGCCCTCAGATCACCTGCTGTCAGCTTTTACAAAGCTGCTGCATTCAGTAAACATCTGCTGCTTTGACAGCTGTCGCTAAAGTGGTCAACATTTATGACTGAATTATTTTGTGAATTAAAGAGAAATTTGTATTGTTTTTATTAACTTTAATTGCGCACTCTGTTTTTGTGTTATCGATCCATAAAATGCTGAGCTTTCGCTCTGAATGCATGATTACTTTAAGATAAAAATGTTTGATTTGTTCATTTTGTAGTTATATATACAACTTAGAATAGACATTGTTCTCTGTCACTTTAAACTATGTGTACTCTGAGCTGTTTCAGCACCGCCCACTTGGACAGCTCCCAGATTGGCTCAGGACCCACGTTTCTCTGACATCCGTGAGAGTTGGACATGGATCACCGCCGAAGTCCATGAGAACCATCTTTTGCTCCGGGTGTTGCTTTTCTTCAACATTCCAGATGTGAATCAGTTAGTGATTTACAGAAGTCTGTGGAGGACTGGCTGAACAGGTAACTGCATGGTGGCACAGTTGGTGGCGCTGCTCTTTTGCTGGAAAAAGGTTGCAGGTTAAAATCTGGGCTGCAGCCTTTCTGTGCAGAGTTTGCAGGTTTTCTCTCCGTGCATATGTGGGTTTTCTCTGGGTTCTCTGGTTTCCTCCAACAAACCCACAAAAAGTCATGTTAGATTAAAGTCCCATCAGTTGTCACACACACAGGTGTGTGTGCGAAATTTGTTCTCCGCATTTGACCCATCCCCTGGGGGGGGGGGGGGGGGGGGGAGCTGTAGACACGGCTGCGCTCGGGAACCATTTGGTGGTTTAACCGCCCAATCCAACCCTTAAATGCTGAGTATCAAGCAGGGAGGCATTGGGTCCCATTTTTCCAAAGTCGTTGGTCTGACCCGACCAGGAATCGAACCCTCATCTCCCAGTCTCAGAGCGGACACTCTACCACTAGGTCACTGAGCTGGCTTTGGTTACTGGTGACTCTAAAGTGTCCCAAGGTGTGAATGCATTTAAGAATGAACTTTTATCTTTGCTTGTCCCTGTGACGGACAGGATAACTGTCCAGAGTGTCCCCGGGCTCTCGTCCAGTTACTGCTGGAGAGACGCCGGCTCCCTCAGACCCTCTGAAGGAAAGGAGAGCGAGAGAACAGTTGACATTTTTACCTGAGAACTAAAACCGAGCTCCGCTGAGCCTCAGCGCTCGTGACTGCATAGCAAAACTGTTTTGATTAGAGAGAAAGTTCACATCATCTCCTCCACTAGAGTTGCTGGTTTGCTGTCAAATCTGACAGCTTTAGAAGAGACGTCAGAGGCTGATTGCATCTTCAAAGTTTACTAAAACATTCGCTCCATGAACAGTTCGATTTTAGAGCCGATTACTCCGTCTTTAGTCATAACTCAGTATTCTGGGTTTATTGTATTAAAACTATTTTTTTGTTTAGTTTATTTCAAACAAAGAAAACATAAAAAAAAAAACACAAACAGAAAAAATACATATCATCTCCCTTTTTTTCTTCTTCTCTGTCTGAAAAGGGGTAGGCTGAAGTGGAAACTTATATGCCCGTACCCCTTTATACAAGTAATGTTTACTTGTTTACTAAATGCAACACAAAACCACATTAAAACAAACAAAATGGTACAAGTCACCAAAAACCACCAAACCATATGGAAAAAAACAAAAAAGAAAAAAAGAACATCTTTTTACAATTGATGCTCATATTTACTTTTCCTTAGAATAAAGGACACCCACATAAATCATCTATTTTCCACTTTATACTTGTTCAGAATATGTTTTTTATCATTCGTTTTAAACACATTTATATTATTACTTACTTTGATTTCTTCTTCTAAATTATTCCATAATTTAACCCCTGTTATTGTGATACACATCTGTTTTAATGTTGTTCTAAACTTTCACTTAAAATGATCCAATGAGCTGCATTTAGAATAAAACCCAATCTTATCTATTTAACAAATCTTGATAAAAAGTCACAAATCAGTTATAATTATCAATAAAAATGTCCTAAAGACAGTAAAGCATGTGAATTAACTTATTATATGTTTTGTAAATCCATACAAGACAGATATGATGGTTTTTGGACCACATTCACTCCATGTGGGTTGCTTGGCCTCCGGAACAAACGTGGCTAGATTTATCAGGAACGTCCTTCAGGTCTCACATTTCACATTTTACCAGGACTGCCTTTTTCTATCTGCTCTGCTGTGCGAAGCATCCTGATACAAAGTAAAACAAGAACGTGCATCTGGTCTTGTTAAAACAGTTTTGATCAAATCTACAGTTAAAGATTAACTGGCCCGCCCCTTCAGCTCTTTCAGAGCTGCTTCAGTTTACTAACGGTTGCTTTGCTCCTAGTCGGATCAATATGTGGTGAAATTAGAACATTTCTGATGATACTTTATATTCAGGAGCGGGTCTAGGCCAAATTTTCATCTCTCCATCACTTGACTCATTACGTATGCGTGCACCAGCTCAGTGCAAAGCTCTTGCGCTCCTGTTTCAGGAGCTAGACGTTAGCCAGAGTGCAGCTGAGCTTCAGACGGCATCTCCTGATATCTCCCGACATTCAGACACCTTGTCTCCAGTTCCAAAAGCCCGATGAGGAGTCAAACACACTTCCTGTACTATTTGGTGAGCTGAAATGTCTGCAGACTGACAGCAGGCAGAGTCTAACAGAGTATTCAGCCCAAGGATGACTCATACCAACTTGGCTGGAAGCTGTCTTCTGTCCCTCATTAATGTGACTGGAAATGTCCTCAAATGAGGCTGAGCAGGTGGGTCATCGTTGCACTTCCTGATATCTAAAAGGAGATAAATGTTACCATGAGGATAGAAGTCAGAACATCTTGTTATTTTATTTATTTATAATTAATCAAATGTAAGTCCATGTAGTCAGCATGCTTCACATTTTACACAATCTGAGCTGCAAACACACAAAGGGTTTGTTAAACATCACAAACCCGATGATGGCGTACATGGTGCACATCACAGAAGATCCACTGGTCTGCCTCGTTTTGCTCCTCACCCTCAGGTTGGACAGCCTCTGTCTCTCAGATTCTTCTCCAACAAACTCCTCTTTCTCTCTTTCATCCTGCTCCTCAGCTCCCTCATCAACTTCATCTTCTCTCTGTTATGTTTTGTAGTTCGTTCTTTTGGATAAAGTTGCTGCCTACCTCCATTCTGCCATCTACAAAACACGACATCTCTGCTGTTCTTTGTTAAATAACAGAGTAACAATGAATACATATCATTTGTATAATATGTGGTTCACTTTTGATCACAATTGATAAAATACCAGCTTTTCCCCCTGTTGAAGACAAAATGTTTCTTTTTCCTTAAAACAGCCTTTTAAGGCACACCTGCTTTTATTTTGACGGTGGGTTGGCTAATCAACATATTGAGGGATTGTCAAATCAAATCAAAGATACTTTATTAATCCCAGAGGGAAATTCTGAAACAGCAAAATTTACAGGTCACACACAATTATTAACAATAACAGGCAACTTCACATTTCTTTATTTGTATTTCTTATATAAAAATGTACGGTTGCTGGCCAAGTCCACAGAATAATGCATCTACTGCATCCTCGATAAAATGGGCGTAGCACGAACACATCTGAGCATGAAAGCATTCATGATGTGAAATGGAGCAACGGTAGCTAACAGATGTAATGATTTAAATTA